GAGAGAGAGAGAGAGAGAGAGAGAGAGAGAGAGAGAGAGAGAGAGATTCCTCCTCTAAACTTATTTATACATTAGATGACCAAGCTTTTCTCTAAGCTAAGAAGAAATAAATGTGCTCCATTTGAGTGTTGTAACTAGTTTTGGCTTCTCAGACACTTTTTGTTTTCTTTTATACATTTGAGGTTGTTATATTCTTTCTAGGTATTCGCATATAACAGTCAATGTTTCTCTATAGCCTTGATTATGAAATAGACACTCTTACTGGTTTTGTCTCAGCGAGAAAGGAAAAAGCTGCTTTTGCAGTGCTCTGTGGTTTTTCCTGGCCTGGTCTGCTAGCTTGGCCTCTCCGTTACTTTGCAAATGTACATGCTGGGGCAGGGTAGGGGTGGGTGGGACTGGGGGGCTGTCTTAGAGGGGTTTACAATAACTACGTGGTGACAGAGCTTTGGAATCCCGAGCGTTATTCTGTAGGATTTCAGCTCTTCTATTTGCTTCAGTTTGACTATAAGGTTAACAAGATGTACAGGTATGAGGGTACCCAGTAAAGTCCTGGAGGCCTGTTCCTTCTGGGGAGAAGCTAGTAGTTCATGAGGCCACTCCAGGTGGACGCGGATTATGGATTGGCAGTGGCTTCTTGAATGAAGGCTACAAGGCCAGTAAGACCAGACCCAGGGGGACAGTGTTGTTCATGATGAGTGACACCTGCCAGAGGGGAGGTTTGGTGCAAACCTAATATTTGAACCAAGGGCGTCTTCTTGCCTCTGTTAGTAATTCACCGCTCTACCCACCTGAAGTTCATCATTACTGAGCAATCACCTTTTTCCTCCACTACCCCTTCTCCCAGGAGTTTCCCTTCCCTTTATCGTACCGGACTCTGTTCCTCATCTGCTTTAAGAACCTTCACTACCTTTTCTTCTTTGTTGGTGCTTTACCTTTAGGTCCAGACCAACATGTCAGTCACCTGAATAGAACCCAAATCACCTTTCACTGGCAGCAATCTGCTTTTGTCCCCTCTGTCCCCATATTTAGAAGAAATCATGTCCTTTCTGACTGCAGAGCTAGTTCCATCAGAAGGACTTTGTAGTCTTCTTGTAAGTTTCCGTTTGAGTGAGTCCCCCAGAGCACTCCCTGCCCCTCCCCCCATTCTTTGCTCGTCTTCTGTCCCCTATTTTAAATTTTTCTTACATTAGCCTCTGACTTTGTTTCAGAATAGCTAGCTGGTCACATCACTTTATTTATATTTACTGGGAAGCCGTAAAACAAATCCAGTCATAAGATTAATTATTTTCTGCTTTTTTTTTTTAAAGAAATGACCCTGTACACTTTCTTTAGGACATTAACAGAACTCGGATGCTGATCTGAGCTTCTAGGCATTTTCTCCATTTTACTTCTTTGGAACATAAACTTAATGTTCTCCCCATTCGTTCTAAATCTTGACTATAAGGAATGTGATTCTTGCTTCATGCTGCTTGTCCAGTGTTTGAGATTTTAAAATATCCTCAACAGTTTCTGTAAGTGGAAGTTCTTTCCTTGTTCTTATGGGTTCCACATGGATTTCACCCGATTGTGTTTGAAACATAGACTGTTTTTATGCATCTTCGCCCTCTTTTCACATTACTCCCACATGGTGGCCTCAGTGGCGGAGTTCATTGCGTTTTCTTCGGAGGGGAGAAAGAGGGAAGCCGGAGGGGTAACCCTCGTAACCCTCCCACAGGCGGCAGAGGCAGCTACGGAGGTTATTCCAGGGCCTACACACAACCTGCTCTCTGCGATACTAATCCAACTGTCTGATTTCAGCCGCTGCTCAGTGTGTCCAGGGTAGATAGAGTATAGGAAGGCTCTGTAGAAGAAATTAGACATGGATAGTTTGATCTGGAAGGAACTTGAAGAGACTATTTCAGCTATTCCCTCTCATTTTACTGAAGAGGGAAAGTTAACTGCTGAGTAACTTCCCAAGTGTTGAAGGTTCCCTGCTGTGTCTGTATGACCGCATGTAACATATCACCTTATGTCATGTTACATGCTAGGATGAGTTGCAGCCTATGGTTACACCCCCCCACCCCACCCCCCCGCTCAAAACCACTTTTGAGTGCTGAAGTAAAGTTTCTTATGCCTTTTCTTAAGTACTTTATAAAGTTAGATTTAGGAATGAAGGGTCCAACAGTATTATTGGTTTATTACCTGTGATTGGTGAGTCCTGACTGAAAAACTCTGATCTGCTTTTCCTGGTCATAGTCAGTCATGCAATAATTGTAAAACCACTTAGAACAGAGTAAACCTATGTTCCAGTGGCACTATGGCTAGGTATTTCCTTTTTATTTCACTTCATCTCTAGCTCTTACTTGATTAAATGATTTTCTCCCAAGTCTGTCAGGTTTAAGAACCTTCTGTTGAAAACCTGCTTCCAGTTGGAAATGATCCAAGGGGAAGGGGGGAAAGGAAGCCTTAAGACAGGGGGGGTGGCCTCTGTCAGACTGTACCCATTCCGTTACAGACTGTACCGAGGGTCTTTTTTTGCCACATACATCCCTTTGGAGTTTCATTTCCACCAATTGGGGAGGCCCACATAACTTATGGGGCTTTTGAACATTGGGAGGTCATGATTGCAAAAAAAAAGGCACGGGGGCTGGAAGTGTCTGTTTTGTCTTCACATTTCTGCAAGATGGGCGTTTGGTTTGCCGCTTCTGCTGCCCTCATTGCAGCTCATTCATTCCCACCTCTGGGTTAGGACATATGGCTCTGAATTTGGACAGGAATGGTCCTAACCATTGCATTTACAGTGTGAGATCTCCATTTGGGAAGGAAAGCAACTTGGTTAGTTGTATCTTTATTGATGTTACAAGATTGCTAGCTAGCTCATGAATAGGAAAGTAGGGGAGAGAAGAAATGAATTCTACATCTACCACTTCTTCTGCTTCTTGGTAGTAGCTCTCCCAAAAATAATGAGGAAGAAGATTGAAGTTGTTGCTGGAAATTAATTTTGGGGATTTTCTTTGGACTTTAGTAGCCCCTGGTCCTAGACACCAAGGAGTTGACTGATCTCCTTCTGAATTGTCATTATCTGATAAGGAAGAACCGTGTTGTGCTTCTTTATAACATTGGGCTTATTTTCTGGTGTTAACTGCTGTCTTAGGTCCAGAAATGGAAACCTTTGAGGATGAGGAGATTAAGGTATAAAAGGAATGAAGGATGTGAGTTTTTTATGATGAGGGTTTGTGTTTTTTTTTTTAAATCTAGTACTTTTAGTGCTGTGTGGGAATTTATTTTAATTTTCCATTGCTTATTAACATGATCATAATATCGAAATAGCTTCTAAGTGTGTTATGATTTTTGGGAGTCCATGTCTGTCATTCACCCCATTTGAATATAAGACAGTTACCTTATGTAGAGAAATGTTATGTTCTGTTTTTACCACTTGCTTGTCTCTGATCGTTTTTTCTTTCATTCTTAAATTTGTTTGCTTAAACTCATATTTTTTTAAGCTTGTTAAGTTAAAGGCATAACCCAGAATAGTTTTGTCCTCAACACTGTGGTTAGATGTTTTTATTGTATTGATTTTTTTTTTCTCAATGCAATTTTGGAGTTTAGTGGGGTTCATCCCCCCGAATAACTATTCAGATGAAATTAAAAATTTTTTGATTTGGTATGTTTGGTGGATGGATGGCATCATTTCCCTACTGGGGGGAGTTTTGCTTGAAATCTGTTAAAAGGACACAGATGGACTTATTTTTCCTGAGGGACATTTTAGAAATAAATTAAAAAATAGCAGTAGAGATGAATAGCTTTGTTTTGTCTGCTCAGTCACGAGGATTTAGGTTCATGACTAAATAAATGCCTCTCTCTGTAGTGCTCCTTCTGGGAGGGGTAAGCCTCAGGCCTATGTTTATGAGCCCTCTTTCTCAAACCTCCCAGGTTCTCCTGCGCTGCCCAACAGCATGGTATATTTCGGAAGCTCTCAGGATGAGGAGGACGGCGAGGAGGAAGATGATGAGACAGAAGATGTCAAAACAGCTACCAACAATGCTTCATCTTCGTGCCAGTCAACCCCCAGGAAAGGAAAAACCCACAAGCATGTTCACAATGGGCATGGTAGGTTTAGTACTGACTTGGGGTAAAAAAGAAGCTAAAATCCAAAGCTTTGGGTAAGAGATGGAGTAGATCCATCTGTCGAGAAGAAGATGAAGATGAAAGCTGTGTAGCCGGTTAATGGGAAAGCCAGTTCTGGGTACTTCCCTAAGGGCAAGACTTTAAGGGGAGAAGAGATGAGTAGAACTCTGTACAGTCAAGTACATTCTAGATGAGTAGATGGTCAAGATGAGTATAGATACACTTATGTTGTGGAGATGAGGGATAAGTTCCATAAGAGCTGCAGGTAATAGGAATCGGAAGACAGTCCATCAAATCAGGGGTGGTTAAGATTTCACGAAGAAACTTGTGATTAACCTACTGTGATTTCTGCAGGTGGAGAGAGTGTAAAAAGAACCATTATTCAGCATAAGAAATCAAGTAGATGCATATGTATTAGAAAAAGTGCTGTAGGGTGTAGGAGGAGGAATAGGACAAAAGGTTGGCTATCAGAGAGAGGAAACTATTAAGTTGGCTTAGGTGGAAAGTGCCCAGTGGTTTTTCAAAGGGAAGAGACTTAATTAGAGATGTGTGCTGAAAAGATTAAGCTGGCACTGATTATGAGGATTACATAAAGGGAAATGGCTTGAAGACCAGGAAACACATTGGAAGACTGTAATTGTAAGCAATTACCTGGTCTAAGGTAACAAGGGACTGAAAGTTGCTCATGGCAATATAAAAAATGGGGATGTAAGTACAAAAATGAGGAGGTAGATATAGAAATATGGCAGGGGTGATGTTGAGAGGACTTGATAACAGATTGAATTAGCAGGAGGTCGGAGAAAGGAAGTAAGAAAAGCAGAGTGAAGCAGTGACAGCGGGATAGGGAGATATTATGGCTCGTTTTGGTTGCGCTCCTCCTGGGTACTCTGCTAGACATCATATTTCATGTAGGACTCAGAGACCCTACCCTAGGGAGCCCTGTGTACAAATGGCAGAAAATCAGTGCTGCCGGTCAGTGACTGAGGCAAAGGAAATTCAATCCCTTCTTCCCTCATTCCCTCCCCCTGCCCCCCACTTTTTTTTG